AGAGTAGCAACTATGCTTTATGCTTTTTTTTTTTTTCCCGAGACAGGGTTTCTCTGTGGCTTTGGAGCCTGTCCTGGAACTAGCTCTGTAGACCTGCTGGCCTCAAACTCACAGAGATCCACCTGCCTCTGCCTACCGAGTACTGAGATTAAAGGTGTGCGCCACCACCACCCGGCTTTCCCTTCCCCCCCCTTTTCTTCTTCTTTTTTAAAAATAAAAAAATAAAAAAATAAAAAAAAGAAGAAAAGAGTAACAACTATTCTTAATCACTGAGCCATCTCTCCCACTTTTTTTTTGTTGAGAATCTCATACATGAGTACTGTGTTTACGTCATTTTCTTTTTTTTTTAAATCTTTATTATTATTTATTTATTTATTAAAGATTTCTGTCTCTTCCCCACTGCCACCTCCCATTTCCCTCCCCCTCCCCTAATCAAGTACCCCTCCCTCGTCAGCCCAAAGAGCAATCAGGGTTCCCTGCCCTGTCCAAATCAGGAGAAGGAGAGAGAGCACGAGCAAGGAACTCAGGACTGCAAGGGGTGCACCCACACACTGAGACAATGGGGATGTTCTATCGGGAACTCACCAAGGCCAGCTGGCCTGGATCTGAAAAAGCCTGGGATAAAACCGGACTCGCTGAACATAGTGGACAATGAGGACTACTGAGAACTCAAGAACAATGGCAATGGGTTTTTGATCCTACTGCACGTACTGGCTTTGTGGGAGCCTAGGCAGTTTGAATGCTCACCTTACTAGACCTGGATGGAGGTGGGTGGTCCTTGTTTACGTCATTTTCAACATCTCTCTCCCCTGCCAACTCCTCCTGTGACTCAACTCCCTCTCAAATTCATGACTTCTTCTATGTAAGCTTTTAAAGATTTATTTATTTTATTTTATGTGTATGATTGTTTGGCTTGCATGTGTGCATAGATACCACATGTGTGCCCAGTACCCAGGGAAGGTAGTGAATCTCCCGGAATTGGAGTCCTGCTGATTCCATTTAGCATTGCTTCTATGTACTCTTGTTTAGGGCTGATCGCCTGGGATTGGATAGCTCATGAAGCTCAGTCTTACAGAAAACTGATTCTTCTTTTCTCATCAGCCATTAGTTATTTGTAGCTATTAATCTAGCGGCTGGATTTCATGAAGTTTCCCATCCACATTGGCATGTCAACTGATGCTGTCATTATACAGGTCTTTTTTAGGCAACCATGATGTTGAGATTTCATGGGTGCAGTTTGGCCAGTCCAGCAAGATATCCCCAGTGGTGTAATAGTGGCACTTTTATCTTGAGAGTAATCAACAGCTATTTAATAGGTCTTAAGACCCTGGTTAAGAGTAGAGAATTAATGCCTGGTACCGTCAACCTAGTCAGTTCCCCAGGGCTCGAAAGGTAATAGAGGAGAAGTTAATACTACCATTTCCTAAACTATATTCTAAACACTTATACCACAGGCCAGTATAGCTTTCACCCCCAAAACAAAACAAAACAACTTTGCAAGAAATGGAAACTATTATAGAGATCTATGTATTATACTGATGAAAATGCCAAGAAAGAGTGACCATGAGATGCTCAGCTTCAGCTGATGTATCCATGACGCAGTTAACATACCTAAAGCTCAAGGAAAATCACAGAAGAGGGTTAAGAGCCAGAAAACCGGGATATCTGCTGGATAGTGTCTTATACTTGGTTTTAAAAAGTATCTGATCTCTACTGCTTCTCACAGTTTTTTATTTATTTATTTATTTATTTATTTATTTATTTATTTATTTATTTAAGATTTCTGTCTCTTCCCCACCGCCACCTCCCCTTTCCCTCCACAGTTTTTTTTAAATGCATTTGCCATGCCAATTTAACCAATTAAAGTGTTAATGTCAACGCACTTCCAGACCTCTTTGTCTTTCATTCCAGATCTAAACACGTGTTCCCAACAGATTCTCACTAACATTCAAAGAGGTTAATCAGATCCTTGAGAATCTTTTGTTTTGTATGTAAGTATTCTAGTCTTTGAATAGATAGTGAAATTAAGAAGCTGGTGGTGACAGAGAGGTGAAAATGAACACACAATTATGTTCTGATGACTCAAGCCTCTGCTCCATCGGGGGAGCTCCACTTGTTTTTCTGTTCAGGGAAGCAGGCTGTAAAAGCACTCCAATTCTGCTCTCTCCCAAACGTTTTCTTTCTGTTTCTGGTTGTCTACCTCGACCAGAAAATGGAACACGAAGACCCCAAGGTGCTCATTCATGAGCAGTCTTAGACTGCCTGGCTTTCTCTGTAGCATCGACTCTACGTTTACAGCGTTTCTAAGATCTTTAGAATTTAAGAAGGAATTTGGGTGTAGTTATATCAGTGAAGGAGGTAGTTAGTCACCTGCTTAACTACAAGCTTTTATATTACTTCAATTCAAGTTCCTACAGAGAGAAGCTACTATGAAGTCACGTAAGGGAAGAACCAAATGGCAAAAGATTTAGGCAGAATGGATAATTTTTAATAAGGAATTTTTTCCTTTGCTTTATCCTGCCAGAGGAGCCAAGGGAGCCAAAGGAGAGAAGCATTAAAGTTTTATATGGCATTTCTTTCTCAGTAGAGTCCAAATACAAGCGTATAGTTTTCATTAACATTGAGAAAACTGAGTGCAGAATCTCTATTTACCTCTTACTATGCAAAAAGTCTGAGCAACGATGCTCATATATCAAGAACTCAGGACCAAATTTTTTCAAGACTGGCAAAACATATTACTGTTTCTTATCTTTGGTCATATTGGTAGGCTGGTCTACAACTAGGTCTGCACATGAAAATCTCCTATGACACACTTCAGAAATAGATATCCAATCAATCCTTTGTAAGGTTTAGATTCTTAGCCAGGGAGAAGGAATGTTCAAAGAGTTCTTCATTCTTCAAATCTATTGGCATTGATATTATCATAAGGGGAAGTTAAGAATTGTTGGTCAGGATAGAAAAAAACTGAAACTTGATTTTGTACTGATTAGTAATGTAAATTGGTGCTGCTTGTATGCCAAATAGTATACACCTAAAAAATAAGCCCACCAATTCTACTTTTAGGTATATATTTAATAGAACTGAAAGCAGGGAGGGTCTTGAGCTGTCAGTTTGAACAACCATGCTCACAAGCTGCATCATTTACAATAGTCAAAGATGGAAGGAACTTAGGTCAGTGAGATAGTTCAAGTGTAAAGGCATCTGCCAACAAGCCTGGCAACCTGGGTTCAACACTTGTAAGCCTCCTCTAAAAACACTGGCTTTCTGACACACGCTACATGAGCTTTGGGGGTACTAGGTTAAGAGAAACAACAGTCACAAAAGGATAAATTTTGTATGGCTCTACTTAGGTGAGATGCCTAGAGCATCAAAGACTTGAGACAAAAGAAGAATGATGACTGCCAAGGGCTGGGGTTCGGGGGTGAGGTGATGAGGAATTAATGGTCCAAGCACACAGAATTCAGTCTTACAAGTTCTGGAGTTTCTAGTGATGGGTGGCAGTGATGGGTGTCCAACAGTAGAATGTTTGAAGCATTACTCAACTGTACATTTAAAACAATGAAAATTGCACATTTTAACTTTCATGTATTTTACAAAATATCAACAATACAAATAGATGCAATTTGTAAATGTTATGTTATTCGTATCAAACACACACACACACAGCAGCTGAGTTCCACAATTGCCCTTTTAGCTTATAAACATTATTCTGGTCAAAATGGATATGTAAAAAAATAATTATTTATGCTCCAAACTGTCCAAACAGACTTGATTTCTCATTTGGTTAAAAATTAAGTACATCCTAAACAAATAGCTTATTTGCTCTCCTCAACAGCCTGAAACAAACTTAGCCACAAATAAAATATCTGTAGTATATACTTTAAATAATTCCATGATAATCAATTTGTTTGAAGACAGGGTCTCCCTATGCATCTCTGGCTGTCCTGGAACTCACTGTGTAGACCAGGCTGGTCTTGAACTCACAGAGATCCATCTTCCTTTGTCTCCTGAGTGGTGGGATTAAAGGCATGCACCACCACCACCATGTCTGGCTGATAATAAAGAGCTTTGGAAAACACTATATTTCAAAGACAAAAGTTCAAACTAATAACAACCCAAATTTAAAATTAAAGAAATATAATGAAAAAAATCACAAACATACAAATTGTAGCATAAATTAAGATGGTATCCCCTATTTTAAAAAAAATCTGTCTAGAGATGCTCTTAAAGTTTCTACATACAAAAACAGGAGTTGTCTGATCTAATTTCTAGATGTCTCCCTGTTTACAGTAAACCCAGGATTTTGCACATTTTCCCACTGAAAAACATATCCAGTCTCAGGTAAATTTTTAACTTGAATGTATTCAATGCTTAAGGTTATCAATATTAACTCAGCAGTTCAGAATCTTACATAAAATGATAGGTCTAAGGCTTCCAACAGTTAAAAATGGACAAAATTCTAAAGAAGGATCTTGCATCCCAAACAACTAACAAGGAAACGAATCTATCAGATATTCTCTCAGGACAATTAAAAAATGGATGAAACCCTGAGCCTGACTTAAACAACTCTTAAACTCGCTTAATAGCAGTTTAGCTTTGGCTTGTACCATGTTAAAACTTGGGCTGAAATCTAAAAATTGTCAACTCCAGAGTTCTCATGGAACATCAAAAAGCAAACTTGCAAGAACTGGGTCCTTACCAGAAGATGGGTTCTGCTTGCATATCAGGGACAAGCCTGAGAAGCATCCGGCTGGTGACAACTCAGTAAGACTGGCTACAACTTGGCAGGCCCCTGAAGGACAGAGCTCAGACTTAGATGAAGCACAGGCCACACAGGCCGTCCAGGAATTTGTATGGAGCTCAAAGGTAAAATCTGGTTGGTTGGGCACCAGGAGCTTGAAGGTAGGTGGGTTGGGAGCAGGGAGAGACGAGGAGAAAGTGGAGGGGAAGAGCCCTGGTTCCGGTGGAAACCAGCTCTAGAAACCCAAAGCCAAGTTTGTAGACACAGAACTCAGACAAATGGAAACCTAACTAGCAGCAGATGCCAGCCAGATCCGATCTGATGCCAGGAGGAAGAATGCAGACAGCAACAGGCTGAGCGGGGCATGGAAGAACATCAAGGGTAAGTTGCTTTTGATGTTAATCTGATCGATTGAGTCGGGGGCTCCTGTGCTTGGATCCCAGCCTAGAATCTGAAAGAGAATAGTGTGCACACACCTGCCAGGAATGTTCCCTGTGTGGCGTGCACAGGCATGTGTTTGTTTAGCTGAGGTCTTACAAAGTTTTGCTTCGCTTTCGTTTCCCTAATTGTTTCATCAGAGCTGGTTAATCCCAAGGGAGCAATCTGGGGAAAAATGACACCCACGATCAGCACAATAACTTGACACAAGGTGGTAGCAGGTGTTGCTCTCTAGTTATGAGTTCCTTTGCCTTCAAACAAAGACACCGGCTCCATGTAGAGTTAGGCAGGCAAACGAGGGACCGCAGTGGACAATGAACTGTTACCACAGAAGGTATTTACTTAGACTCAGGGTGTAGGCACTGGTGTCTAACAGTCTTGCTTAATTGCAGAAAGGTCTGACGCAAATGAAACGCCTGGGAGAGAAACACAGGACACAGCGTGACCATGAAGAGACCTGGGAGTCACAGAGGAAAAAATTCTGTCTCATGGCAGTGTAGCAAGGTGAGGAACGCGGGTTCCTGTTCCTGGGCTCTACTCTCTTCTCTAGCCAAACCTAGACCCTGAGGCCTCCATTCATGTGGGGCCACCTCCTTCCAGGCCCTTCATCTAGTGCCTCACATGCTCGCTAGTGCCTCACACCAACTAAGCACCAGCGGCTAGGTCTACCTGTGTGATCTGCCTTGATGGAGCATCCACTCTCCTCTGAGACCAGAGGACTCCTTTGGTTTATCATCCATCTGTCCTGGTCTATTTCTTTCTCTATGAAGGCTGCCCACTCCCCGACTGCAGCCTCTGGAGGTTTATGCTCCACTTTATGCTCATTTTCCAGAATTAATCCTGCTACTGGCCGGTTGTTCATTTCCAACCACTCTGCCTGACTCCTCATTGATGGGTCTGCTTCTGCCGAGTACCTATCTCAGCAGATATGGCTCATCTGTTGGTTGGTCCTTCCTCCCCTTAAGAAAAATCTAGCAAATGAACACTATCAAAATATAATATATAGCATTCAGTACTCAATATTACTATTTGGGAAAGAGGCAGGTTACAACTTTCAATTCATCTTTACTTTCTACAGAAGAAATATTACTTTGAATGTAAAGAAATGAGTATTTTTATTACTTTAAAAATCACTGAGGAATTTGTGAGTATTGTAATAACTCTGTTATGGGCATTGAGTCAGAGGTCTCTAAAGTAACAAAAATGATATAAATGGAAGTCGTAGAAACATGAAAATATATTAAAAGCAGCTAAGCGTCATTCACTTATTAGATATGACAGGGAAATGTGCATGTCCATCAGCAGACATGTCACGTTTCTAGGTAAAAGGACCCAGTAGAGGTTAATAACAATTAGCAATCAGCTTTCTTTCTCCCACTTAAATACTTTACAACAGAATAGCAAGAAAGTCTGCCTCAAACTAGCCAGGCAAATCATTATGGGGCTGGGTTCCTGCTTTCTCAGCAGTTTCTTTTGGTTTCATATCAAGAAAGACATTAAAAGTTAAGATAAACTTGTACAAAACAAATTCTTATGTTTTTTTGAGACTACCATACAATGTTACTCAGAAAAGAAAAAAATAAAAACCCAAACTGCTTTTGGAATTTTAATTACAGGTTAAATAATTACTATTTTTGCTTTTGTGAAACAACTGCGCCGCTTACTTTGAACTTCCATTGTCTGAAAATAGCGCCTGCTAACTCTTCTTTGTCTGCTGTGAATGTAGGCTTGTAGGAATACTCATTCTTGACGATTTGTTTTTATTGTTTTTGTTTATTTATGTGTATGTATGTGTAATGTCGTGTGTGTGTGTGTGAGTGTGGCATATGTGTGTGTGTATGCCCAAGATCAGAGCCCCTGGTGAGGGAGGTACAGGAGGTTGTGAGTCACTTGATGTGGGGGATGGGAACTGAACTCAGGTCCTCTGAAAGAGCAGCAAAGGTTCTTAGCTGCTGAGTTTCATACTGTAAAACACCAATATATACTTTTGAAGGCTTAAGCCCATTTTTGCTATCTATTTTAAATACAGTAAACAAAAATAACATTCGATACTACTTAAAACAGAGACTGTTGTCCCCCAGGATAACAAAATTAAGACAGTAGGAAAAAGACTTTGAATAGGTGGCAGGATCCAGTGATCCAGTCCTGTGCCCTGTGAAGCTTAACCGCCCTTACAAGCCAGCGATCACTTGTCTGCCATTGCCACCCACGTTTACATAGTGATCTGGGAGTCACTGTGGGCTCTGGGATGACACCATCACAAGCCCACAGCGACTGCACAGCTGAGATCGCCCGTGATCAGAATATGCAGATTCAGTTAGGATGAAACCAGGATTTAAAAATAAAACAACAACCGCTGGTGGGCTGCCTCACCCCAAAGCCTGTTACACAGTGTGCTGGAGGGCAGAGCACCAGGAAAGCCGTCCCTGGGCTGTGCCTGGCATCCTGTGACACGTTTCCAAACTATTGAAATGAAGTCTGAATCTAACTCCGTGGTTACTGCAACAAATTCGGTTGAAAGTAAATAAATCATCGGTAAATAAACATGTTAGGTCGTGCATACCTTGACATTCCCTTTAAAAACTAGACTTTAAAATGAAGGCAAGACTAAAAAGCTCTTCTAGTTTATGTGGTTGTATGATATTCTAGCACAGTGGTTCTCAGCTTGTGGCTCGCAACCCCTTTGGGAGTCAAACAACCTTTCCATAGGTGTCACATATCAGATATTTACATTATGATTCATAACAGTAGCAAAGTTGCAGTTATGAAGTAGCGACGAAAACAATTCTATTGTTACAGGGTCATAGCACTGGGAAGGTCGAGAACCACTATTCTAGATATTTGAGAGACCTTTGAAGTGGGAGGGTAGGAAAGACATGCAATAAGGAAGACTTGGTTCTAAATCCCAGTCGGCTGGCCCACACAGAGAAGATAAGGCAGTACAGTGACATGGCAGGTATCAGTTACTAGAGCAATTTCACCCCACTTCTGTCCTGAAGTCTGTTAGCTTGACCTGCTGCTATTAATGGTTGTTATTCTGGACCTGCAAATGCTAGACACAACTCCGAGTTCCATAAACTTGCTGAGTTATTAGTTTATTGTTTCACTACTCCCCAAAAAATGAGCTAGCAGAATCTAAGGCTTCTTCAGAATGCTGGGGATTGTATGTACACACACACATGTGCGCACGTGCTCTCTCTCTCTCTCTCTCTCTCTCTCTCTCTCTCTCTCTCTCTCTCACACACACACACACACACACACACACATGCACATATGTGCACATACACAGGTCTCTGTGTGCCAGGATTGAGCCTAGGACCTTATGTATGCTAACAATATGGTGTGTGCCTGGTTTTTGTTCCGTTTTGTTTTGTTTTTACTTAGGTTACATGCTGCCTAAGCAGCAAGCAGTTTTTGAATCTAAATTCTGAGTCTAAAATAAAAATATCTCATCCCAGTCTTTTCAATTATATGAAACAGTAAAAGCAAAATCACCAGCACCACAAAAAAAAAAAAAATGTGGTAGTACATGATCTTGGAACTCCAGAGGTACAGGTAGGAAGATCAAAATTCAAAGTTATCTTTAGCTGCGTGGTAAACTCCTGGCTAATCTGGAATATAGAAGACTGTCTCAAAGAAAAGAAAAAGAAAGAAAAGAAAAATGGGCAAATAAACCCCAAAGTACTTAACTCACCTTTATGTCCTATAGTAGACCAAAATAAGACAAAATAATAAATAAATACCTTAGATAGAAAGGTGACAAAGGTCGTTCATCTTCCTGTGAGCTAAAAGAAAAACAAATGGCGAATTAGTACGATATCTATTAAAAGCACACGTAAATTTTATGAAAATTCTGTTCTACTTGTCACAAATTGTGGCATATTACCGCTGATCTTGTAATGGATTCAAATTAACAAAACCTTCTCCCTGGGATCTAGCCAGCCTAAATTACTTCTTCAAAGAAGCCAGCCCATCGATGTGGTCTCAGATAAGCCTAAAGCAGAAGTAATTTATATCACACTTCAAGAAGCAGCTTTTTACTATACTGTCCAACAAGTTTATTCAAATACTCATATATTACACCTCTACAAATTATTGCAGACACAATTATTTTAACAAAGCTAATTGCAAAAGTAAAACTAGCGATGAATTATCTCTGTGAAGCTGAGTTCGTTAGGCAAATCTCATGCCATTTCTTTTTCCGGGGCTGCTCTGCTAAGTAGAACCTGATACGGATACCAGGGGCAGATGTAAAGAAAATTCTCAGCACAGTTCAAGCTCCTTAAACAAATGGAAATAAGAGGAAGCTTAATATAAAGGTGTTTAAATTTTTAAATGTAAAACACATGCAAGAGTTTTCCTTAACATATTTTCTTCTAATAAACTGCCTTTTATTATAAAAGCATAAAGTGAGTCTCTCCCGCTTGTTTTCTTCAGCATCATTTACTAAAATGCAAATGCCGGATTCAACTGGCAATATTGATCTGGAAGTCAACAAGATTTTACTACAGGGATGTAATCTCTTTCTCTTCTCTCTCTCTGTCTCTCTCTGTCTCTGTCTCTCTCTGTCTCTCTGTCTCTCTCTCTCTCTCTCTCCTCTCTCCTCTCTCTCGCACACACACACCACCTCACCCCACACACACTTGTCCTAAGAGTTGAAAAAAAAGTTACATTTCATCTAGAATAGGCTGTGTACAATTTGACACACTATTTTCAATTTCCTATGATTTTTGACCATTTTAATCTTGCTCAGCTGTTCTATTGCCAGTGTTGTCAACAGTACTGCTGTCCACACAGCATCTTCATGCTTTATATACACATGCATACACACAGGCATAATTTAGCTGTACAGCTTCTTCCCATGTGAGAGGTGATGGATTGCTTCATTGCAGAATAATGTGGATGGGCTAAGGGTAAAGCTGGTACCACTCAGCTGGAATGTATAAGAGTTAGAGGTGACCACGCCTGGGTATAGGCAGGTTGGCTGCACTGAAGCTATCTGGAACAGTGTTTTTACAGGGAGCTAACCTCACACAAGACACTTACGTGTTTGACTTCAAACTCTTTCTAGAAAACATTTGACAAAACAGTTGCCTTCGCTCTCTAATCAAGGACTCTATCAAAGAGATATTGTAGTCCAGATTGTGCCAGCAAAGCTACCAGTATAAACTTGTAAAGACTTCAAGTTACAGGTTAGGAATATTTGCCTCATGTTGTGACGTGAGGGTATACGTCCTTCTTAGATCAGAACTCCTTAATGCTCACACGAAACAAGGCACAGTGAATTTACATGCTTAGTGTAATGTATCTTGTGGGCATTAAATTAGCCAGATATTTTTTAAATGTTAAGAGTTTGCAGGCATGTCCAACCTCCTGACAAGTTCTTCTGACACTGTCGCCTCTAAGGTTCCCATGAGAAGCAGGCAATGGATTTAAAGTATCAATCCCAGAAAAGCTCCTTATTAAGTAAGTTTATAACTTTGTTTCAACCCATCTCCAGAGCTGAGCTGGGTCACATTTCTAGATGGTACGGAGCTCAGCACAAGGAAACAGAAGCAGTCTCCCCCATAAATGGAATAAACTACTTATTGCCTTTGGATCCTCCTAAAGACTATTCCTGAACTTGGACTTTGCTCTCATTTATCCAGAAAAGCAGGCTCAAAGTGGGAACAGAACCCATCCAGGCAATGATGAGAACAGGTGGTAGAAACTGGACAGGTAGGGCAGAGACCCCAAAGCCGCAGGGCAGAGAATGCTTTGGTGGGGGATGTGGATGCTAGTTCCTGGCTCCTTGTCTTTTTCCTTGGCGGAGATTGCATGAGAATGCCAGTGAATCAGGACTCATGGCTGGGCCTCCTGGACCGACTAGCTCATCCTCTCCCTATGCCTCAGCCCACTCTGTGCTGTAAGTTCTTTAAAAAGATCCCCAGAACCGGCAGCTTGATGGCACCCCACCCGCAAGGGCCCTGCTGCTACACAGGAGCCCTGTCTTCACTTTTTCTTAAGAGAATGTAGACCAAACTTCTCTCTAAAACTTACCCTCCGTGGTTCTCAAAATTCATTCTTTGAATTCTCTAGACAAGAACATGAAAGTCACTGGCTTGGGGTCACTTTGGTGGCCATTCTACTTTCTGGGACCCTGATCTTTGAGAAAGGCCCTGGTGTCCTCAAAGACACCCCAATATTCCCACATCACTAGCGTTGGCCAGTGGTGAGTACAATGTATTTTTACACCTAACACTGTCTTGGTTGTTTATTGACTTCTAACAGATTTTTATAGTTTGTCATGGGTCAGGGATGTGGCTCAGTTGTTTGAATGTCTACCTAGCACTGGGATTAAAGGTGTGGGCCACCATGACAGTCTTGATGGAAACACAAGTTTTGATCATAAGCAAACATCTCTTCAGGTAGTGTTGGCACAAAGTAAATTCATCAATGAGGCACAAAGTCAGAAACTATAAGTTTAGACTGTCATTTTGATCGGGTTTAAGTGTTATAAAAGAGAAAAAGAAAGCACAGAGATGTAAATAAAATGAAACACACTTTATATATTACATTTTATGGATAAATAGTATTCAGCATAATGCAATCAATTTATGGAACAAAATATATGGAAAGAAAATGAGGGTAAATAAATCAAATTGGATAACTACTAGACACATTTCTTCTTCTGTTCTTGAAAGTTGTATGGTTTGTGACAAAGGTGTGCAACACAAACAACTAAAGCACTGACTTTAAATGAATTAAAGCAGTTAACTTTAAGGAGCAGTTAGCTACTGCTGTGGGATATTTGTTCGCACTGACACTCTGAGACTGCTAATAAAGTTAACCTTGAATCAGGGGGCAGAGTCAAGGACTAACTGACTGGAATTAACCATAGAGGTACCGAGGACCCAGCGGGCCAGGAGAGATGCATAAGAAGTAGTGGGGAGGGACTTGGAGACTTTGAGGACTTTTTCAATCTGGGAAACATAGCGAGGCAGGTCAGCTGATTATTCCTCTGTTCTTTGGACCTATCAGGTTTTCACCTGAATAGCTGACTCCCAAGTTTCTATTAATAGTAGAAAAATTTAGATAAACATTTCAAGCTACCCTGATTGTTGAAGTCACTTTGAGTTAAAAAAAAATAAAAGACCATCCAGGATTGCTCTTTTTAACAGCACTGTGAAAAATGAACTCTTTCACAAAACTGACAGTTCAGAATGGGAAGCATTAGAAAAGACAATCATTTCTATATAGTTGTCAAAACAAATAAACTTTTGTTCCTGGCCCCAGACTATGTAAATTCCTGACGAATGTATATCTTGACAATCTTGGTCATGTCTAATGATACTGAATGACTTCACTTACATTCTAAATTAAGTATAATCCTTTGCCTGAATTCTAAACTTGGAATTCTGATTCACTTTCAAGTTCAAAGACCAAGCGCAGTCACCAATGTGGCTGAAGGAGAGAGCTGGGCTGTGAGGCGGTGCTAGTGGCAGACAGTTTGGGACTCCATTGTTTTTCTTTTGCTGTTCATGTAACACAAGGAGATGCTCACTGCCCTCCCTCAGGTATAAGGTGTTGGAGTCTCTGAAACAACTGCTTGTGGGAAGAATGTTTAGCATAGACCCCAGACAACTGAAGTGTCAGGAACTGAGGAATTAGGTAGTTAGCAGGCCCTTCTGAACTCTCCTAAAACACTCAGCATCGACGAATCATAGGCATAAACAACGCCCATCCTGGGGATCGCTTCATGAGCTTTGGAACCACAGAATGCAATGCCTATCCAGATCACTGGACAGCAAGCTAACTAGGAACAGAAAAACCAGAAACCAAACCAACCAAACAAACAAAAAACCCAAATACTGATGGGAGAATTCCCAGAATAAGGTGTTCAATGCATCTCCACATTACCATTCCATTCAGTGTCTTTTCCAATGTTCTCACAAACAATCCAATTAATTCTACTTTCTAATCCCTTAAGGGGGCTGATTACTAAAAAAAGTAACATAATTTTCATATTTATCTTCATTCTTTAAGTGTAATTTCAATGAAGTTAAAATAGGAGATATTTAAAGTGTTTCTTGGATACTGAAAAATAGGCAATGCTAAAAATTGTGTTCCACTCTTTCTAGAAATGAGGAAAACCATCTGTGAGGTCTTAAAAAAGAAAAAAAGCAAAAGGCGAGAAGAGGAAGTGAGCAGGCGAAAGCAGAGAGCTAAGCGAATCTCTGAGGACTCAGATTTCCCCTCCACTTGGCACTGTACAAAGTGCCCGCCTACATTCTCTGTGAGGATGGAAAGGAAGCGATGCTAGTTCCTTGCGGCCTGTCCTGAAGTGCTGTACTTTACCTGATTGGCCTCAGTCAGTCCTCGCTCGGGCACTGACCACAGGCCATGACAGGTGGACAGTGGCACCATGCGTTGTTCTGATGTTTAGGTTTTGTTCCCATTCAATAAGAGAAAACAACACAAAAGGTACACAAATCTCTATGCATTCTGGAAAAAGAGTGTACAAGTTTTCAATCAGTTCGTAGCTGAATGCTTGTGGTTGTAATTTGAGGAGTTATTTACAGTTCTTTCTTATAAGCCCAAGCAGCAGTTTACAGTTTTTCTCCTGTAAAAACTGTGTACTGAGAATGCTACACACAGCCCATAGAAACACAAATTACCTTCCTTTAAGAGGATTGGCTTTCTCCAACCAAAGAAGAAATGCAAACACGGGAGAGCTTAACCAGCCTGAAAGGTGTTACTTGTCCAACAAAACTGAGAGACAAATGACTTTCCAAGGTTTAAGGAAACCCTATTTACTTTCTCTTTTTCTCCTCCTCCCCCCCTTCCTCCTCCTCCTTCTTCCCCCTCCTCCTCCTTCCCCTTCCTCTTCCTCCTCCTTCCTCTTCCTCCCCCTCATCCTTCTTTTTCCCTCCCTCCCTCCCTCCCTCCCTCCCTCCCTCCCTCCCTCCCTCCCTCCCTCTTCTTCTCTCTCTCTGGTGGTGCACCCTCTGAACCTAGAGCCTGAGAGCCTCTGCCACTTAGCTAAGCCCAAGGCATATATACCAGTTTCTTTATTGTGGGTGGAAATCTTTAACCAACTTTTAGGTGTGCATATAAATCATTGCCTGGCAAATACACAGAGAAGGTCAATGCCCCTGAACTTTAGGATGTGACCATGTTTAGTAACTAGGCCTTTAGGAGGCAATCAAGTTGAAACATAGCCCTTAAGGCTTGAGTCAGTGTGACTGTGTCATGCTGAAAAAGGGAAACTTGAATGGATAATCGAGCACTTGGGGGCATGGTGTGTTGTCTCAGGACCTATTGAACACCACTGCCTCACTCCTGCAGAGAGGCTGGGCAGCAAACCCCAGGTCTGCAGAGATGATGGAACCTGAGATAACACATTTCTGCCCTTCTAAGCTCCTGGGTGGTGGCACTTGGCACTTTAAAAAAAATTTTTTTTTTTTACATCTGTCCTCACAAACCTATATACTGACTGAAATGCTCACTATTTTTGTTTGCTTGTTTGTTTTCAAATTCTTTTGAATCTGAACATGCCCAGCCTTGCAAAAGGATATGCGCTGGAGACAAGGTCAGCTGTCCCTGGGGATCACCAGACGCTGGATTTCATTTCCAGGCAAGACTTTCACTCTGTTGAACTACGCTTCCTGCGACTACATACTCACATACAAACACTAGCACAAATGTCATCAGATTGTTCTTATGTTGCTTGGATACTTTTCATTCTGATGTGCTGTATAACTGTTGTATAAATATAAAATAGATATGTGCAAAATGAGGGTCCTAACTTGTGAACACCGGCGGGCTATGGCTGAGAGTACAGAAACAGAGTTCTAAAATGCTGTGGTCCCGTGTATGCTGTGTGATGTCCTCAGGGAAGGCTCCTGAGTTGAGGTCTGCTCATGAAGAAAGTCGTCTTCTTTGCCCCCCCCCCAAAAAAAAAGACAAACAAAAACCAAAAACCCCCAAACAGCCATTTGTTGACTGACTCTCTGGAGGGAGAGGAAAACCACAAAAAACTGGTCCAGCTGTGCCTGGTGGTGGACATAATGGCATAGTACTGAAAGGCCAAGGGAAGTGACAGAATGCCTCCAAGTCTCTTGGATAGCCTCCCCTGACTACATGGGCAACTGTTAGGAGCATTTCTCAGGAGCCTAAAAGGAGACCCTCTGCATACTTCTTAGGAACTTCTTACCCAACGACTGCAACATTCTTAATAACCTGTACTGTCTTCTATATTCAGGCTGGAAAGTGGTTTAGTTGGTAGAAGAGCTTGTTAACATGTACAAAAAAATCTCCGGGTTCAGTCCCCAAACTTGCATAAAGCCAGGTGTGTCGGCACATGCCTATAATCCCATCACTGGGGAAAGTGGAGATGGGAGGACCAGCAGCTTGAGTTTGAGGCCAGCTTGGGCAACATAAGACTTTGTGTTTAAAAAAAAATCAAAGAACTATTTATTATTTTTATAAGAAATGAAGAATCCTCTCATTCTATTCCAAGTGCACCCACACACTCTGTTCAGCTCTGGCTGTGTGATAAACAGCTTGCAATGTCTAAGAAACCGGGTGGTTTGATGCTAGCTGCAGGTGATGGAAGGGAGAGTGGAAGTCTTCTCCAGGAGTGGGGAAGTAAAAGTTGCTCTTCTATTTCCTTTGCATTGCTCCTTCTGGTTAGAAGGTGTGCAAGCCTCTACCACCTGCTAACTGGTTGGACACTGTGTTTTCTCCTGGACTTGTTTAGAAGCCACAGCATAAGAGGAGCGCTCACACTCGCTACAGCATTTAGATCGCATTAACAAGCCAAGTGTTCTCTTCAAAGTTGATCCCTTTCCCCCATCTTTGGTCAGGCACCAAACTCCATGCTAAGCCCCTCCATGTCTCTTGCATCCAGCCCTTCCAGGTTCATGGCGACACTCTTCCATAGTGGCAATACTCAGTCCCTGCTGGGCACGGCGGTTCGCCTATTCTACTTTCCCACTGTATTTGTCGTCCGTTCAAAAGCTGAAACCTGCCACATCAAGTCCCTCCTGCCTCAGCCCTCTATGCTTCTACGGTAAACTTCTCTCGCCGGACTCTGCAACCCTCTGCTTTTGCACACAGAGCTCCTCCTTCCCACTCCACACCTCTCTCTGCTTGGGAAATGCTTTGAGCCTTAACTCAAGGGCCATTTAACCTGGGAAGGCTTTACCAGATTAAGAAAACTGTTCCTTCAGCTCCAGGTTCTCACACCCTGGTCACAGCTGTATAAGAGCACAGAGCACACAGTGGGGGCACGTCGGGCACCCAAGCTTGTCTCACTACTCGGATGAGTCTTTGTCTAGGTGTCTGGGCACCTAGCTAGGTACCTAATTCAGTGGATGGGCCCAGTGAACACCTGTTGAATAGAAACAGCATCAAAACGTGGCTGAGTGTTCACACAATGCTTTAGTTACCTATTTTTAAGATGTACAATACAATTTGTGAGACCAGTGTAGACAACCAGAACATGTATAAAAATCTGTATGCCAGTTATTTTCGATGACCTTGTTCTTTTCTACTCAAAAGTTAATGGGACTGCCACTAGAGTCTGGGTTTTCTACCATACTTGCTGAAGGAAAAGAAAATAATGTCTTTTCTCTGACTGCACGATTAGAGGCAACAGTCCTCGCAGTACACCTGCAGTGTAAACAGTACTCTGTGGTGTGTGCAGAACCCAGAAGAGGATATGTTCAGGCAAAGCGCTGTTTGAGTATGGCCTCACCAATGTTTGTTCTGGCTTGAGAACAGGAAAAGGAAGCTATTTGACCTCACTGGAAATCCAAAGGTTGTTTGAAACTTAAAAAAAAAAAATCTTTGTTTATTTTAAACTTATTTCAAGGCAGCTAGAAGATCTCCTGTGCCATCGAGGTCTTTTACAGGAAAGCGATGGCCACTGTTATTCTGCAATACCAATAGAAAGCGCCTCTAAGTGGGGCACTGAATTAGAATTCAAAACCCAGGAGCAGCCTGAGCATTAGTTAATAAGTAAAATATAGTCTAGTCACTAAAACAGAATAACAGGTAGATATCCTCAGGGGGGAGAAGGAAAGAAGAGGAATTTACTACTTCCAACATTTACTATAGTTCCAGAATTTCAATGACCTACTAAGGGAGTTTTCCTTTATAGGTATATAATCTCCCACATGGTAATAATCTCCCACATGGTAAACTCTGCATGTCGTTTTGGGGACAATGACAGAGGTGCAGTGGCACTGCCAATCATCCTCTCCCCATCATCTCCCACTGTGGCTCCCTCCTGGGGAGGTCTGTCCAGGGAGCGCTAGCAGTCTATGCTGTGATTCTGTAGTAGGGGAGTTTAGGGTGGTGAGTAGCTCAGGGAGTGTGGGTTCCGCACGCACCTGCACGGGTGCCCACGATGCACAGGCGGTATGATGGCTACCCTCCCAGAACTCACAGGCAGGAATAGGCAACTACTGCCAACTGAAAGTTTCCTGCAGGCCAAGCTTTCTGGGCTAAGAGTTTATACACATTGTCCTCTTCACTCCCCAGACATCCTCAGAGGAAAGTATGAGCGATCGGATCTTTCAGGCGAGATAAACATGTCCAAGGAGGGCTAATTAGCTGTGAAGGCGAGGTGCTGCCAGCGCAGTCTGTCTCTAACCCTTGGTCTCTGCAGCACTGTGTACTCTGCTAGGTTTGGTGAGATTTGTGAGATAAGCCACGCTGAATCCCAAGGGCCACACAGCCATTATAGGGGAAAAAAGGATGGATAGATGAAGAATTACTCACAGGATGACAAGATAATGGGCTTTGGGGGCCCGGGGAAGCAACGTGGTGATGTGATGGGGAACACTGAGTACAGTAAGCAGCTGTGACCTGGGACAGTGGTGCCCATGAGAGAGGGGCACCTGTGATTATTTTTAAAAACTGATTTTATTGAGCTATACATTTTTCTCTGCTCCCCTCCTTGCCTCTCCTTTTCACTTCAACCCTTTCCCATGGTCCCCATGCTCCCAATTACCTGTGCTTTTTTTTTTTAAGTGAAGAAAATGAAAGTAAATAAAAGTCATTTCCCAAACACCACAGTGTGTGGTCTGTGCAGTATGTGAGTGTGTGTGTGTGAGTGTGTGAGTGGTTTGTGCAGTGAGTGAGTGTGTTAGTAGTCTGTGCAGTACGTGAGTGTGCGAGTGGTCTATGCCGTGTGTGAATGTGTTAGTTGTTTGTGCAGTGTGTGAGTATGAGTGCTCTGTTCTGGCCAGAGTCGGGCTTCTAATTTTGTTTCAGGGTTATTTTCACCTTGACAGAGCATCGATACTCGGTTGCATTTTGCTTTGTTGACTGCCTTTGCCATTTGTGCTGTGCTTTTAGCTCTGTTCATGTGATGGGATTTGAGCAAATCTACCCGGGTCTTCAGGTTAGTTCTTGGAGTCAAGTTTCCTGAGTTTTGTTCTTACATCTGATCCTTTCTAAACCGAGCCCTTAGGAGTCTTAGTTCCACTTAACACTCAACCCCTCACACTCTCTATTTTTATTTAACTAAACAGGAACTTTAATATGAAAACAATCTTCTGAGGCTTCCATCTAACTTGTTTTTAAACTACAGTCATAGTTCACCATGCCCACTGTCCCCACCCCCACAACTTTCTCAAGCTGAGACTAAACAACTTGACTTTGGGAAGATTTGCTGAGAAGTGCTTGTTTTTGTCCCTGGGATCCAGGATTCGACGGTTTGGCAATAATAGCTATAAATCTGTAGTTGACGAAACAGACAGGTCTTAGAGTGCAATTGCAAGGTGACAATGTGGAATTTGGAAGGAATATTAAATTTGAAGACAGACAGGCAAATCCGTACCAGGAAAACACATAGCTCAAGAGCGTGACTTAAAACTTTTAAAGCGTATGGACATACACTTGGTCCCAGTAAAGTCCATCTGCCAGTTTTCCCTCATACAATGAGTGCAGTAATCTCCTCCAGGGCATCCCCCTCAGGCTGTGCACTCATACAATTTGGAATTAGGAATCCTGTCTTGGGGTATTTATTGAGGAGAATGAATGAAGCCCAAATGTAACACAGCTCCCGTGAGTCTCCTGGATTGCCCGTGTTGATAGCACAGCTTCTCTCTGAACACACAGCAGGTGCTGGTGTCCTAGGAATGAGAGTCTAAGTGCCCCACATTAAACACAATGAAGCAGAAACAATCCCAAATGGCAGGCCATAATCACCTTTAACACAGAAGGAACTAGAGGACAACTTCAAATTTTGATAAGCATATAGAATAATACTTTTGTTTTCCCTAAATCAACAGTTGCAACAGTTGTAGGAAATGAGCTAAAAACAACTTCCTAATTTGTCAGGTAAAAAAACCTTCCAAATCGCTATATGTGTATAGAGCAATTAACTGAATAAGTTATTTGCAATATTTTGGCATAAGAATATTTTTATCATTTGTAATGGAAACCCTTAGAAATTATGTGAAGACCAGAGTTCCGATGTTTCCACCAATATTGCCCATGGTCTCCAATGTATGTGTTTAATGATCACTTACTTCATGCCTACAGAGGGAATCTTCTCTGGCCACAGACGTACTTTCGATCTCTGGAATAAATGAGTGTCTGTCCCACAGACTTCCATGTTTTGGGGAACAAAAGGAGCAGAACACTTCCCTTTATTCTGGCTAGTGTGTTTCTCTTTTGGATAATGACAGCTCCCCCCCCCCCCCCCCCCCCCCCCGTCAACCCCCCCCCCNAGGGAATCTTTCTCAGGTAGGAGGCCCTGAAGCCTCCTTTGCCCCCCCCCCCCCCCCCCCCCCAACTGTGCCGTTAATCTCCCCTCACGCCGTGATTATCGACTTTGTATATAAATGGCATTTATTTAGATATCTGGGTAGGGATTTTGCATGTGTTTTTATGTACTTGACTAGGCAACTATTTTGTTTCCAGGAGTTTGGGTTTAGTCACATGAGAAATGAAAGAGATTTAGACAATCCCTAAGCATCCCTTTGGCTCTAAAGTAGAGAGCATGTTTTCAGAATTCCCCAAAGCTATTTATGGACATATGACTAAAATTAACTATACAAGTGTATGAGATTGCAAAAGTAGGAAAATAGATAAATAAATAAAGTTAAAAGTAAGTATTTAAATGTTAGGATGAAAAGGAGGAAAGAATGATCTAGCTATCCATCAGCCATGCCCTGCTTTAACGTGCTTGCTGAGGGATCTAACTTAGGTCCTCCTGCGGGCACAGGTAGCAGCACGAGATGCCAAACCCCTCCACCTTCTCAGTCTCCAGGACACAAAGTATCCTTGATTTATTCATATCACCTTTTTCCTTGTATTTTTGAGTAAAGGTCATAAGTTCTCACTACTACCTTTGGTTGCCCTGGAGCTCACTATGTAAACCAGCTGGCCTCTAACCCAGCCTTTTGCCTCTGCCTGGGGATCCTTTTGCCTCTGCCTACTAAATTCCAGGATAAAAGGTGTGTACCACTATGCCTGACCAAATTATCTTCTTTGCATGAGCAACTGCAAACATCTCTGCTCTACAGGTAAGGAAAGAACTACACAGAGAAAACAGAGTCCACAGAGGTCTCATTTCCTTTTAAGTTCGTCACTTTCAAATAAAGTCCATATTGTCAATAAGAAATAAATTCAGAAACACAACCCACAGAGGCCTGAAGGGAGATAGCTTTTAACTCCTTATATTGTGCTGGCAGGCAGGGTGGTGAGGCATCATGTCCACGAGCAGCAGAGGGCCCTCTAACACCACAGAGCAGCTCAGGAGTATAGGTGTCCATATGGCCGAGGCTTTCACCAGTGACCACAGATGTCATCCCATTGTCAATGGTGAGGTGTTTGCTGAAGGATATTCTTAAGGCCAACATTTCCAGGTCGGCTGAATTCCTCTGATGGGAAGTGTCAGCAGAATTTTAGATATTGAACCATCAATCCATGCTAACTAATCATGTGGCTTTCAGTCTTCTTTGAAGTCCACTGAATTTGGAATTATTACATGTGTCACCAACACATAATTAATATTCAAGAATATATATTAGCCACTATCACTTTCTGGATGAAAAAATATATATATTAGCCATTATCATTTTCTCCATGAAGCGCTGAAAAAGAAGTTTATATAGACACTATCAGCCTCTGATTCTCACCTAGTAAATAAACACAGACACGCGCTGGGTGTTTTCTGGAGCATGGAGATGCCAGTACATTTAAGAGAGGAAGCTAAATTAATGACTAGCCCCCATAGCTTTGTCTTTGACATCGTCCCTTGTGGAGCTGAGCTGAGCTGGGGTTGCTGGAAAGGGAGTCTAGCAACTCAAAGCAGAGCTCTCACGACAAAGCCGGTGCATCCTGGTCTGCTCTCGTAGGCCTAACTGCAGAAATATCTCTGCAGAGATCCTCACTTGCAGGCTCACACACCACAGGGAAAGCAATATCAATACACCGTGAATCACAGAGAGCTCAGCGGACCTGGCTCCCTATAAAACGCAGCCTCCTTAGTCACCAAAGCTGAAAATCTTACTTTCTTCTTATGCTCAACACAGTTCTTCACTTTATTCCCTCCTTTTAAATTATTTATTCCAGGGACTCTTTTCAGAGACAGAAAGGCTATAAAGTGAGCTCTTTTATAGCGAACTGTAAGAATTATGTAAATATTTTAGAAGTTTTACACATAACTGGGGGAGAGGTTACAGAGGAGAGGGGTTCAGTTACCAGCTCACAATCACCTGTAACTCCAGCTCCAGGGATGCTGATGCCCTTTTCTGACCTCTAAAGACACAGGCAGACCTCCTCCCTGACACGATTCAAATAGAAATGAAATCTTTAGCACATAAAAACTGTGAGGCAACTTGATCACTTGGGAGTATCCAAGAAGACTCCACCTCTAATTTAAGTCCTTTGGAAGGAACTGTGAGGGATGCACAGCTCACAAAGAGACAGAACGTGAACAGGAAGCCACTGTTAAGCCTTCGCTGACGCCCGTGTGGAAAGTTCACGGACATCCGAAGACTGGAAAGAGGACCAAGGTGTTTTAACTCATTCTTCCTTTTTGCGTGCATTCTCATCCCAGCGGTAGACTAGCAGTAACAAAACACCTTCCTCACCTAGGCACAGCATGTGAAGGCTAAAAAGTCACCTGTGCAAATTATAAGTTCGGCAGGCATCGCTGAACATGTGTGCACTCTAATAACAACAGCCAGGTAGACGAGGTTGGATAAAACACAGGGTAAAGCGCATCCATCTGGGTGCATCCGTTATGACCCTAATCGCGCTGTGTGTTACAGAATTCACCACACGGCACAGCGATTGTCTGGTGATGCTTCCGCATCCTTACTGCTGTGGGGCAGCAGAACTCGTGTCTCAATTACCTCACGATCACAGGCAGTGCAGTAGTGTTTGAACAGAGAGAAAACATTAAACAACGTTGTAAGTTTTCTTTGAACAGGCAAAACTGAGAAGAACACCTCTCATAAGGCCACGATATTAAATATGCTATGTGGCCATGTTGGGCAGTATAGTGTTAGATTACTGCATGGACCAGCTGTCAATTGCTTTTTACAAGCTATAATCATTAACTAGAATTTACACCAGTATTTTCAATGCAAATATTCAGCATGAATTTCTTTACTTGTTATAGCTAATCCTTTCCCTATTCATCGCGTCAGTCTCTAGCACTCTGGTACGATGAAGCATCGCACAATTCTACAGACTGTCTCCTTTGGGCAGACTGAGGATGGGATCCGCAGCCATGCTTAGCATTTCTGTAAGAAGCAGGGAGTATAACATCCAAAGATGTCGGGCTGAGAGTGGAAGGAACACTGCAGGGGCACAAGGGTGTCTGAGTACACGCTTAGGCTCACCAGGGACCTTTGTGTAGAAAGCTTTGTCTTATACCTGCTCATCGTCTCCAGGAAGCTTATAATCAAAAGCAGAAATAAACTGGAAGTGAAGATTGCCCAGGAATCAATCAAACCAAACCTCTGAGCTTGGAAGTGGGGGGACCCTGACTGCACAGGGAGCTGCTGTGCAGTGACTGGAGGACAAAAGTCATGACTCAGCATTCTTCAATGCAAATTTAGATAGCGCCCGGTTCACGTAGTGACCACCAATGTAAAATCATTTTTAGGAAATCACATTGCTCTTCTTGGTCTTCATAGCAGGCATTCTATTAGCAAGCAGCTGCAACAGGGTTTAGTAATAACCAATGATTAAAAAAAAAATCTAAACCACAACCTGGGTAGAACTCTTGAGGGCTGACATTACCATAAAGACAAAAGTTCCCAACTCTGAAACTGGACATCATTAAAATTCCAAAAAGTGGACATTAGTTTTGTTCTCTTAGACACTTCAACCTGTAGACTTTGCCACCAAATTAATATAGAATCATAGAATCCTCTATCCAGTACTTCCTTCTACATTAAAGTATTACTTCTCTGGAGAGGAACTCTGAGCACCACAGCAAGTTTCTAATGCAGTGGACATATCAGGAGAGCGAAAGAAAAACGGCCACACCAGCTCTCCCCGCCGTCAGTCCATAGGAACCTTCCTACCACAAAAAGAAAAAGTTTTCATCATATTCATGTTGTTAAAGCACAATCAAAGTATGTGTAGCATGGTTTTTTAGAGAAAAATTCAATTGTCTAGATTTTCTTTTCAATAAAGTCTCCTTATCTGATTTCTGAAACTATCATTTCACATAGGAAATTGTAAATGAGGCATTTATAGGAAGTTGAATGTTCCTGTACATAAAGTAATCGCGATTAAAATGTGACCATTTGATTACTAAAAGCGAGTTTGTAAACCATGAACTGTGACCTTGAAGAACTCAGACTTTCTGTAGGACAGGGCTCAGGCATCAATGTGGGACCTTCCACTACCACTCCAGGACACAGTGCTCCTGTCTACTTCACCAGCAGTGTGCTTGCTAACAGGCAGGGCTGTTTACTCCAAGGGGCCCAGAGACTCCTCAAAACTCCCCAGCAGCAGGGCCAGAACCCTGTACTCAACCACTCTTACACAGCGCTTTTTCCTCCAGCGTCATTTGGGATATGAGTCTACCTAGAATTATTCAAGGAGAGACATTGTCCTCAACGATTATTCCCATGATTATAATATACGCGAAGAGAGAAAGTCCTTACCTAGAGAACTGATCATCAGATCCATCTAGTGAGCCCACTGAAGTGTTCTAACAGTCTAGAGACCTAAGAAGCCTGCTCAGTTCTGATGCAAACCTGCTATGCTTCGAGTTTCAGAGGTATTAGCTTAAATACACTTCCATTAAAAGAAGAATATAACTGAACTCAGCAACCACACGCAACTGGACCGAAGTGTCAGCGAAAGAGCAGTGCGTTCTTTAAATGTTTCTGTCTGGTCTAGGGATAAAGCACTGTGAAGAGCAGACCGCAAGGTTTGCAGCCTGTTACTAATGATGCCGAGCACTGGCCAAGTACTGTGGTACACTGCCCAGAAAATAGCAAACAGCATAAGCAGCGAACACTACCTTCGCAGCGGCATGATTTCACACGCCATCCTCGTGTGCGAATCTGCACGGGATCCCCCAATGTCTTCCAGCCAAGCCCGGTGTGCAGGACCCGCGGAGCCCACAACCTGCTGCAGCTGACGCTGCCTCTCCACCTCCAGCTGCAGGCAAGGATATTTATCGGCTGCCTCCACATTTACACTGCAGTCCACTTTGACCTTTTGTTCCAGCGAAGCAGCTGAAACCCGGAGCCAATCAGAGGAGGAGCAGCGGAGTGTGAAAGGCTGCTCCTCCTCTGGCTGCTCCTCCCGCTCGGCTCCTCCTGCTCCTCCTCCTGTCCCCACCCCGCTCGGCTCAGCTCGATCCTCAGTGGGCTTGGCAAGCCCCTGTAACCTGAAACTTTTCCTCTGAGCGGATTCAGACAAGCTTGTCAGTCTGTGAAGAACAACCAATAACCGCAGCAGAGCCCAATCCTGTGTGGCTCAACTGCAAGAAGGACAGCAAGGAAATGCATTGTCAAGGGCAGACAGCGTCTCTAGACGAAGCATTTTCGTGGCCCAAGGGAAGATTTGAAATAGACCTTAAAAAAATTAAAATTAAAAATTTTACCCAAATACTAGCCAAGAAGGCAAGGCATAAGAGTTTTCCGGAAGGAAAGCTTACTTGGACCCTTGCCCTACCCACATTTTCTTCCCCAGGTGCTTGTTTACACTCTGAGCAGTCCCTGGTGAAATCACTTAAGGGGAGGAGGACACAGTGCCCTAACAGGGCTCAGGTTCTCAAGAGATCAAAATGTCTACTTGCATGGCCCTTCAGTTTGTTGTTTGTACATTTCACTCATATGAACTGAAAGGAGCTATTTGAAAATAATTTTCTATCCAAAATGTCAGTTGTACTGTGGAAAGACTTGCTTCTTGCTGTATTATTCTTTTATTTTTACAGCTAAGTTAAAAACAGTTTTTCCATAAGATCTTGTAAATGTTTGTTAATTATTGCCTTTTTATAATTTTTCAAAATTTGTTTTACATGTCTGTATGTTTGCCTGAAAATACACATGTGTACCTCATGTGTGCCTGTTGTCTGAGGAGGCCAGAATATGGCATAGGATCCTTTGGAACTGGAGTTACAGATGCCTGTGAGTGGCCATGTGGGTGCTGGGAGCCAAATCTAGGTCCCCCATGATAACAGCAAGTGCTGTTCACTGCTGAGCCATCTCTGTAGCCCCTCTTATTTCTTCAGGAGCACTAGGGTGTTATTTCTAGGAAAATAATTGCAATTCATAGGGAGGTGTAGTGGTTTGAATAGGAATGGCCCCCATAGATTAATGTGTTTAAATGCTTGGTCTTTAGGGTGTGGCACTACTAGGTGTGGCATTGTTAGAGTAGCTATGGTCTTGTTGGAAGAAGTATGTCATTGTGGGGGCAGGCTTTGTAGTCACCTACGCTCAGGCTATGCCCCTTGTGGGACACAGTTCACTTCCTGTGATATAGAATCAGTTCACTTCCTGTGGTACAGAACTCTCAACTACTTCTTCAGTACCATGTGTGCCTGTCATGCTTCCTGCTATGATGACTGTGGACTAAACCACTAACTAAAACTATAAGCTAGCGCTTTATAGAGTTTCCATGGTCATGATGTCTCCTCACAGAGAAAGAAACCCTAAGACAACAGGTTTTCATACAAGGTAAGAAAATACCATAAACACACTACGTGTAATTTATTTCTTATTATGGAAGTTTAAAGAATTGAAACATTACAACATTGCTTTTAGTAGCAGAAGCAACAGAGACCCAGTTAATGCCATCTGAAAAGTGTGCCAGCTTAGAGGCACTCGTATAGCTGTTCCCAATTATTTTTTTACAGAATACTCACAAAACTGAAATTGTCACTTTATTCTCCTTTTGCAATTTTTTTTTTTGCTTTTAAAGGATCAGTTCTATACCCAGAACCAACTTCACTGTCAACACCATCAAGTTTTTGAACTGTCTTGATGTCTTCGTTATTTTTCTGTTGCTGCGAAGAGACACAGTGACCAGAGTAACTTAAAAAAGAGAGCATTTTATTGGGGACTTGCTTAACAGAAAATTAGTCTATGACCTTTATGGTGTGGAGCATAACGGCAGGCATAGAACCGTAGCTGAGAGCTTACATCTTATTTGTGAGTTACAGGGAATGGAAGGAGAGATAAGGAGGGAAGGAGGGAGAAAAGGAGGGGAGAGAGAGAGAGAGAGAGAGAGAGAGAGAGATTAGTACTAGTGTGGGCTTTTTAAACATTGAAAACTACTCCCAGAACCACTCCAACAAGGCCACACCTCACAATCTTTCCCAAACAGGCCCATCAACTGGGCATCAAGCATTTAACAGATGAGCCCATGGAAGGCTATTTTCATCCAAGTTACCATGCCTCTTTTAATCATGGAACTTGGGTGGTTAGAGTGCAGAAGGTCACATCACAGTTGTGAGAATATTCTTCTAGAAAGAGAGTGTTTTATGGCCGGTAAGAATGTTATTTTCATATTTGGTCTTGGCACTTAAGAAAATGCCCCATTTTCTCAGTGTCAGGTAGGCACTGTAAGGCCAAGGTCGTGTCCTATATCTAGGTGATCTTTTCTTACTTTATCAAGAAGAGAGTCGTTGGTGAGAAACAGTTGTCCAATGATATCTCATATGGCTAAGTATAATATCTGAGGACTGAAGTCCCATGGACTCTTAAAGAAACATACTTCTAACTTTATTATCCTGCTTGGTGTTGAAGACCAGGTAGGTGGCCCAAATGAATCCTTTTCTTTTTGACATCAAGGCCAGTTGAATATCTGGTCCTTGGGGGTGACATATGCTTGGGAGGAACGGATGGTTCTTCTCATCATCCTTTTGGCAGCGAGCCCATGTAGTGGTCCTAAGTCAAGGGCCTCGCCTGACTGCTGTTTCACTGGCAGGTGTGCTGGGAATATTTTCTCTGTGCTCACTCTCCTCTTCGTCAACTGGACACTGTAGGAGTGCACTCAAGGGTGTCTCCATGGCCTCCCTGAACAAGAGAAAAGGTGGCTTGCTTCAGTCTTTGGAGAGATGCCCCACAGTCCACTGGGGCTAAGCTGACCTTGGAGGGTGAAGGGGAAAATAGTAATTTTGGACTCCAAGTATGGGTATTGAACATCGAGCTTAATTACACCAGTCTGCTCTTTGACAGTATTGTGCAATATTTAGATAGAGCACAAGTGGAAATCAAGCATGTTTAAATAAACCTTGATGAGACATATGTTAAATCAGTACCCTACCTGTCTCAACTTTACACACTCTCAATGACTTGTTCAGACCCTCATTCCTTACATAAACTTTCTAGAATTTTTTCCATTTCGATTTTAAAAAAATCTAGCCATTTTAATCTTTAGACACTAAGAATATTTTTTATTTTTAAATCCTAGTATCTTACTTGAAAAAAATACCATGAGTCATAGTAATACCAACAAATAAATTTAACCTTTGTGAGAATTTGGTGGGGGGGATAAGCAGTGTCTATCTTCTCCTTAAAGGGCTCCAATGACAAACCAAAGTTCTGATTTTTACCAAGGCTTATCCTGGAGGAGCAGTGAATGTGTAAGGTTTACTTACAGGGAATATGTATGGAGTTACAGTGACATCCCAAGAGCAGCCACACTGCGGTCTTTACCCAGTCCTGTGGTGGCTCTCCAACAGCTGCGCTGACAGAGCTTCTTTCCCTTAGCCTCTTTAGCCGAAATAGTCTGATTCCTCCCCAGACCACCAAGGCATGAGCAATGAAGGCACAATTGCATGCTAGCTGGGAGGAGTGGTTGGGTACTCAGGTGAGGGCAAATTCTGATGCATTGGAATTTTGCAAGAAGGCACGACTGAACTCACAAAGATGGCAGTTGCTCGGCTTGGAAGATAGTGTTGTGTAAAATCTCCTTAATGAAAGTTAAATTCAAGCTATATACTACATAGGATAATGAAATGTGATGGCTAGTTTATATCAATTTGACACAAGCTGAGGTTATCTGTAAAGGGGAAGGGACCTTCAGTGGAGAAGATGCCTCCATAAGATTTAATTGTAAGGCATTTTCTTAAATAGTAGTTGGATGGGAGAGGGCCCCATCCCATTGTGGGTGGAGCTATCTGTGGGCTGGTGGTCCTGGGTTCTATAAGAAAATAGGCTAAGCAAGTCATGATGAGCAAGCCAATCAGCAACACCCTCCATGGCTTCTGCATCAGCTCCTGACTTCAGGTTCCTGCCGTGTTTGAGTTCTTGTCCTGACTTTCCTCAATGAGGGGCAAACTGTGGAAGTGTAAACCAAAAATCCCTTTGTTCCCCAACTTGCCTTTTCATCAGCAATAGAAACTCTAACACATATAGTGAATTGGGATTACCTGTGCATATAGAAAATATTTATATTTTAGCAAGAGTTTTGGTACATTATCAAAGTAATCTTGACATGAAGGAATTCCCTCTGCAAGTAACTAAAGGCAGAAAAGAAGTCCCATACTCAGAGACAAAAATCCTCACATATTTATATAATATAACTATATTTATAACTATAGCACTGTATTGTAGAAGGCATCCATTTGCCCCATTTTAACTAGGATAGACTACTGTACAGCCCACTGCTAGAAAAGTCGTTTTCTCTCCTTCTAGTCCCACCTTGAAATCTAATAAGTGTTTCTGGTGGGACCCAGTAAAAAGCACTCACAACTCCCTTAATTCTCAAGGGCTAAGGGGACTAAGCTTTTCTTATGTTACAGTTTTACAGCCCAGAGAATGACCTACTCTCGCTGTGCGTTTGCACAGCAGAATATCGTCAAACCTGTATCTGCAACCTGCCCTGGAAATCAGCGGGGAAAGCCCTGTCAAAGCTATAATCATGGAGCTGGTGGGTGAAAACTTCCAGGCAGAGAAATGTCCTCTGTCATCTCCATGGAGGAGCATCTCATTAACTGTTTCTCCTAGAGGCATGTCTATGTCATGGCGTAAATAACAGTAACTTATGCTGGACACAGTTACTCCTGAGCTGTCCTCAAGGACACAGGGCTCTTGTGCTCTTTTGTTGTTCTCCTTTTCCTTGTCACAGAGTCAGGGGGACAGTCTGACCCAGGCCAGGGGTTTTGGAGGATATTGAGACAAACAGGCTTGACTGAAATTGGGAGGACCGAATCCCTTCTCCAGAACCAAGTTCTTGGTGAGCTTAACCAGCACAGAACAGTGTGTCAATATGCCCTACAGGTAAAAGGCATTTTTGGCCCTGTAGA